AGTATTTTCAAGTTATTATTACCATGGAGGAAATAATTATTTCCTCCATGTTATTACAGTAGGCCCAATTACCAAAAATATGTGGCAAAGACAAGCCAAACCAGTCACTCGTCGCAAATCCTGTTTCAGAGATAATGACCAAAACATCCTGGCAATCGGATGTCAAAATTTTTTTAAATCAGTATTTTATTTCACTAAACTAACATTTAGATCTATATATCATGCTATGCTGTTATTTTCCCCATTTTCAATGTTAAAGCAACAATTTTTGATGGTCTCTGCCTGAAATCCTAAAATTTAAAGGCTAATTTCTCAAATATTGTTCTTTAAACTCCTGTAACTTCATAACAAAATTTCGGATTTTAATTATTCTTTTACCATTTTTTAGCTCTCATTTTACTCTTTAATCCTGTATTAATAACTAAAAATCCATCTTTGTGACAACTGACTGGTTTGGCTTCTCTTTGACACATATAAAGTATTTATAATTATACTTTCAATATAGATAGGCAAAATAAATTCGAATAATTGTACTTTCTTGTTTTGATTATCACAGGTACACTTGTTTTTATAATTAAGGGTTTTACATCCGTTTTTGTTCTGTTGGTCTTTTGATTCTTACCTGCATTCGCTTTGTCCACGACATGCCCAAGACTTTTTTTCTTGTTATTCTCTCCCCGATCTCAACAACAGAAACGATGCTATGATCATCGCCGAAGATTGATTCATCTTGAAGAATGCAGTATCCAAGGATCTACAGGAAACCATTGGGATAACAGAATGAAAATAATCACTTGTTCTATCCCTGATCATCATCATATATTTTTAATAATTATTAGAAAGGGAAACAAAAAGTAAAAGAAAGAAAAAGAAAGAAAATAAAAGGAAAAGAAAGGGGAAAAAAAGAGAAATGAAAAAAAAAATCAAGAAAAATCAAGAAAGGTGGAAGAAATGGTAAGAAATGATGTTTGCCCTTCCTGATGTATTATAAGTACTGAATGCTCAGTGCACTCCCAAATGCCTGCCATCTCAATAGAAGAATTGGTATTAAACAAAATTATGGAAAACAGTTGTCAAGAAATCAAAAGATTGGTAATAAATCAAAATAGAACAGAAAAGAAAAAAAAAATAAGTAGGCCTATAGTATATAATCATTAGGTAGGCTATGAAGTGTGGAGGGACAATAATACAGTAGTTGTGGAAGATAGTTTTACTATAAATTAAAATAGGCAAAGATAATGTACATTTTAGTACGGTATAGTACTAACACCGAATAGACATTGTGCATATGAGATGACCAGATATCATTTTCAAATGATGGCTAATTAAAGTACTCATAATAATATTTACTATTATTGATAAGGACTCTACTGTAAACTGTATGCATGGTACTGTAGCTATGTGTCTGTAACTCTTCACTTAAAGAATTCTGAAACAGGTTTGTGTTCTGGCTTCATGACAAGATTGCCACCAAAAATGATCCCACTAGACATAAGTTCCGGGACTTCCATAGGATACTCTTGGGTCCCAATCACACATATTCATAATAGTTACGTTCACTCAGGACCGCCTTAGGGCCACCTTTGAACAATCAACAAATTGTAACCGGCCCAAAGCACCCTGGACCTGGGCCGACTCATCTTCATACCGAAACGTCAACCGAACTGGGGTCGTCAAGGTTGCTTTGACAGCGGTAAATTTTGATATCACGCAAAACCTGGCACAAAGGAGGAAGTGTGGAGGTTCGCAGTGCGACCCTGAGCCGACTTAAAATACTAACCGTGAATGCAACAGTCGTTTTGAGTCGGCCATAGTCAAAGGGGCCCTGGGCCAGTACAGTAAGTGTGATTGGGCTTTTAGTGTGTCATACCCACCATTCATACAGTACCTTGATTATATTTGAATGTTGTAAATCCAGTAGCAGTGATATTTCTTTCATCAGTTTGTAATTAGCATATGTATAGCACCTTCGTCTCTCCTCTTCATCAGCTCGTTCTCTTTTCATACACATCCTTATGTCATCGACGGACTTAGACACTAACTTTACAGCAACTTCTTTCTGCTGATAAGTCGCCTTCCACACCTCCTTGGTGGTACCTTTTCCGATTCGTTTCACCAGACTTATCTCCAGAATATCCTCACAGTGCAACATCTGGGAGGCATTATTAGAAAACCAGGTATTAGAAGATTTTTTGAGAGGTAACAAATGTTTTGGCAGATGGAGGCTTGTGGAATCAACTCGGATGTATTTCGTACGGTTTCGCTTTTCTTGAATGAGCTGATGGCGGAACATTGCATGCTTGATCTTGGATTCCCATTCCTGTCGGCTTCTTGTCGGCAGACTTGACTGACCATTCGTATTCCATTGAAGAATAGGAAGAAAAAGAATTGACTCGACTACAAACAGAGCAGTCAGCACGAACAACAACATCAAAAGACGCCATATGTGTTTAGTCTTCATGTAAATCGTTCTCAAAATACCTTGATACACTAAACCAATTAAGAAAGAATACAGGCTATATATTTAGTAATTCAAGGACTGGTGTAATAATAGCCACTGCCATTTTTTTTCCCAAGTTTCCCAAGCATATTTTTTGGGCTCATTAAATCGTATTGACATGTACATTTAAAATAAAGTAGACCCTATTGTATTTTTATCTTTCTTTTTCCCCAGTTCATTTTCAAGCACACTTACTCACTATTTAAGAATACATGACCAAGAAGGACTAGGCCACTAAATAGATAGGGCCCTACCACTGCCTGAGGCTGTACCAAAGCTGAGAAATTGCATCATCTAAGATGTGTATAAGAGACAGCCCTATACACTACTGTATGCATTTAAACTGATTTTTATCACTTATAAAGCCATTCTAAACTAATTAAATCCTCTAAAACTATTCAACTAAATAAAAGTTACAAAGTATGAAGTATTGAGTACTCACGAGACGTTGTGCAATAATGATTTGGTGATTTTGAGTCCAGTGAATAAAGGTATAATGACCATCGATGAAGTTACAATAGCATATGAGGTAAAATGTGGTTTTAGGTAATAAGACACCCTCTCTCTGAGGGTCAGTGAATAAGATGACTTTTACCCTAGGTTTAGCATCAACATGTACGTCGAGCACGTAGAATCCTAAAATTAACGAACTCCGCAACGCAAAATAAATAAATTACGACGTCATCCGTTAACATTAAGGTAATACTCATTCCTGGTCCTGGTTTAAGACACCAAGCAAGTCAGATATTATTTTCCTTGCCAGTAAATATCTGTACAGTTATTCAATTTTCATTTCAAGAAAATGACACAAAATATTTTTAGAAAATCCTGAAGCAAACTAATTTAAATTAAGTGATAACTAATTACTTCACAAAAATATAACCCAATTAGCAACTTTAAAATCATTTTTGTTTAAATTATATAATTGCCCCAAGTCCATTATAAGCCAATTTATTCAGTTAACATATCTGGGCCATGGGCAGCGAGAACTGTGTACTTAATAAACAAAATCTACAATATCAATTGGCCAATTCGTAGTTCGAACCGCGACAACATAAACTAGCATTCACACAACAGGTTTTATGTCAATTTACCATGGATACGGGCATGCGCATTTGAACCACGAATTGGCTTATTGCATTACCACCAGTACTGATTACCACCATCAAACTTATTGTTTGTTCCCCATTTTTGTTTATACTTTATTTGTTAATAACAGTCACTGGATAAATCTCCAAACACTCCTTGAACCTTCCAATATGCTTTATTGAGTTTCCATCATACGGTAGGAAAGTCATTTGCATAGTTTTTTCCCCGTCAGTTGTCTCGCCATTTTGAAGCCTGTTTGCATCGCCACAAGATGTGGGTAGATTTTTTTCCTTTTCACCAAAGCCAATGACCTGAAAAATCAAAAGGCACATTGGTAGGTCAATGCCTATAGACGTCTAGGCCCGACTGCACTGCTAGTGGCGTTATGTATATTTGCTTTTGATTATTTGCCATTAAGCAAGTAATGAGATTATTATTAACCAAATCAAAATGGCCAAAAATGTTTTGTTTGAGTATATACTGTATTAGCTAAAATCGATCAGTTGCATTAATAATATTTTCCATCGCCCCAATGAACAATCAGTTCACAATCTACTTATATTTCCACACTGTATTTAAATAGAAAAAAAATAAATAAAAGGGCCCCCTCACCTGTGTTGATAGTTTTCTCCGACATCTTCCTTTGTTTATTAGTTCATCTAGTAAATCAATTATTTGACTTTTCTTTACATTCTTTAATACTTTAATCTGTAAAAAAATAACACCTATTAATTAAGCTTAGCCTATATAAGATAGAAATTAACTGCCCAGTATATTGTGTGAAGGTGAAGACAATTCACTGGTCGGAAGAAGCCAATGCCAAGAGATCTGGTTTAGTGAGTTTTCTTTACAAACCCTTGTTAACCCTTTTCAGTCTGCCCCATTACCATTGCCTGAGGCTGTACCAAAGCTGAGAAATTGCATCATCTACACTAAATGTTGGGTTTTTAATGGGCGCAGGCATTTTATTGGGTCTGAATACAGGAGGCCCTCTACAGAAATACTCCTACATCACTCTCAAACAATCCTATAGAGGGCAGCCTATCTATAAAAAAAATAATTATGAAATCTATACAAGGCGTACGTACGACGCCCCTCGCTATAAAGTAAGGTCAAAGGACGTCGTCGCGATGCCATACAACTGGAAAGGGTTAAAAAAATATTTTTTTAAATTAACAACCACAATAATAACACACCTCTCTCTCCAGCTCATCAAATACATAGGCCCCTGTTTCAATTTCATTCCAATTCCTGGTAACTTCCTCTGCAAGATTCAGGTCAACACACTGCTTCAGGTTCACCAGAGCGTCCACTTGAGTCTGGAACTCTCTGTCTGTCATGTTTGTCAGTTTCTCTTGGAAATTTTCCAAAAAGGCTTCAATCCGCTGATCCACATGAAGAGCACTGCAAGGAAAAATGAGTTTCTCAAATTTGCTCATAATGTTCTAGTATTATTGTTACATTCAAATTAATTTCATGTACCATTCCTGCTTGCTATTAGCGAGTTGAATGGCCAAGTGGTTAAGGCAGGGGTGCCTCAACATACAGGCATAAATATTGGTGCTTGTTTGAATGGTATACTCGCCTATGGTTCTGGAGGTGGAACAAATCTTCTTAGATAAGGACTATAAACCGTAGGCCCAGTGTACACAATGGCCCATGAGCACTTCAAAGAACCCAGTACATCTTTCGAGATGAGTAAGGGTTACCCCGGTTTACTGGTTCATACATCCCCTGTTGTGGACAGATGAGAGATAGCTGGTACCGGTTTACCAGGTAGCTCAGATAAATGCAATTAATTGTATGAGCTAGTCCACACCTCATGCGCTTTTAAACTTCGGTATAAAGCGCTATATATAAATCCAAATACATCACATTACTTTATTCAGTGAACACAAATATTGTTATTCTGTAATTTGATGATATGATGATAATCACCTACCTGAATTTATTCGCCTGTGTTGTCACAGTTACAGAAAACCCAACAATACCAGAGATAATTTCACAGGTAGGGTGTACACTATACCTGAAAACATAAAGTTTAAAGAAAATTACAATTCAGTAGTGGTGTTTATAGTCTGAGTGAAATAATTACCTGCATAGACTTTAAGTGATAGAACATGGAAACAAACCCTTTATTCGTTTTCTTGTTTCATGAAGGGGAAGATTACATTCTGGAAAATAAAAGTAAAATTGCTTACCCTAAATGTTCTTGAGTGCGAAGAAAGTCGAAACATGGCTCCTCCATCAGCATCTGCAGAAGTGAATGAAAGGTTCTCACTCTATATGTGTATGCTACATTCTTGGAAAGGAACTGGCCACCCTACCACACAGGTGGGCACATTGCAGCCCACATGCGGCCGGTTAGTATTTTTGTGGCCCACAACAATCTAAGCCCGCCTACCATGTTTGGCTAGTAAAACCCTATTTTTTACAGTTTAATTCGATACAATGTACAAAGTACTATTAAACCTAAACATAAACCGGTATAAAAGCAGTGCATGCAGGTTTCTGG